CCACCAATTTGCATATGCAGCTCGACAGTTACCACCGGCCGGCCATCTTTGTTTACACCTATTTTGAATCTGATCAGGTCCTCCAAGTTGGTGAGAGCATATAGTTTTCCATTGTAGAATACAATGTCCACAAGCCGTGGCCCATTAAATATTTTGGCCGGACAACCAATCCTGCAGATGGCCACACTAGCTCGGGTGGTGATGGTGGCGAGGATGCAGCCACTTGAGGTGGGGGACTCTGAGAATATAACCTTCTCGTACGCGTAGAATGACGTCATGTCCTTTGCGTGGAGAGGCACATCGGCGCCGGAGAAGAGGTTCACGATCGCAAGCTGTTTGTCATCGCCAAGCGCAGCGACCCAGCCGCCGTCGTGCGCTCCCGCAAAGCTCTTGCGGATGAGCGCCTTGGGCAGCGGGAATTGTAGGAATCCGTCGTCCTCGGGGCAGTATACCCTCCTCATGTTGCACTTGTCGTCCCGGCCGTTGTTGAAGATGAGCCATGCATGGCAGGGTGGGCAGCGCGGCGTGCCTGGCCGTGATCGCGGCGGCTCGCCATGACCTGCATACCGCGGCAAAGCGGACGCGGTGGAGCAAGCCTCCGACCTTAACAAAGAGCACGTGGAGTAGATCGTCAGGGAGATCTGCCCAGTGCACCGGCGTCGTCATCCACGTAGGCTTCGCTAGGTTTGATTGACTATCATCAACTACAGCCGTACGTACGTACTAGGGCTGGGTACCATACACGGGCGTACTGCAATATATATATATATATATATATAGGCTTCCGTTGCATCGGTGGAGTCGGACACACGAAACTGATTTTCTGTACGTACGTATATATAGTTGCGCCGTCGAGGTGTCATCCGTTCTAGTCGTACGTACCTAGGAGTACCTAGCTAGGCGTGCGGGCGTGGAATCCTCATGAGTTGCGCCAACATCTGCTGGCTGGCGTCATGCATATGGAGGCCAACCTCTCGCCGCGATCGAACCGAAACGCACGCACGTCTTCAAACCGAACAGAAAAACCAAACCAAACCGAACCGTAACACACGCACGTTCTCATAAGTAGCAAACAGTATGGCATCCCTCTTTGTTCCAAAAACCTCATAAGCACCCTCAAAAAAAAAACTCGTAAGCGGGTGCTTATTGGATAGGCTATTTAGATACTGGATTTTATCTATTTTACGTGTATTGTCGGATTGTCTAACATAGAAAATGGAGAATGAAATGAACAACTGAGAATGACAAGGTTGAGATACAAACTGAGAATGGCAAGACAAAGAGACTGAAGAAACAGAGCAAGAAATGAAGGAAGAGACTGAACAAAGAGAGACTGAAGAAAGAGGGAAATAGGGAATAAATGAAGAAAGCAAGAGCAAAGATCGAAGAAGGAGACAAATGATTGAAGAAAAGGACATTGATGATACAAAAAATAACGATTGACGAAAGAAACATTTGAACAGCTGGTTAGTGAATGCCGAGATTCACAAACTGAACTAAATTTGGGATGAGCTAACTGAAAAAAATAAGAATAGAATGAAGGAAAAAATAATGACTAGTGAACAAATAAAGACTACAGATATGAATATCAACTTATGTCTCAAACCTAAAGGAGAAAAGTCCACTTTTCGTCCCTCAATTCTTCGGTCTGCTCTGTTTTGGTCCCTCAACTCTAAAACCGGACAGATTGCACCACAAACTCTTGAAACCAACCATTTTTCGTCCCTGCACGGTTCGCTACCGAGTCAACCCGGTTTTGACCACAACGTGAATAGTGCTCCGATGAACAGTAAATTCAAAAAATAGCAAAAATAAAATAAAAAAAATCTGAAATTTTATGACATTGAAGATAACTCAAATGCGCAAGGTGCATGCAATTATTGTCATGTTTGGATGTTCGAGAAGCTCGCGGCAAAAAAAAGTAAATCTACTCTATGATGAACAGTAAATTAAAAAAAAGCAAAAAAATCTGATTTTTTTTTGAATTTTGTTGGCATTGAAGATGCTCAGGTGGGCAAGGTGCATGCAAATTGTCGTGCTAAAATGACATCCGAGGGTTTGGAAACCACCCGAAGCGGCATGCACACGCAAGCTATTTTATTTTTTCCACGAGCTCCTTGGATGTCATTTTAGCACAAAATTTTGTGTGCGCCTTGCGCACCTGAGCATCTTCGATGCCAAAAGAATGTAGATTTTTTTTGATTTTTTTTGCTATTTTTTTGTATCTATTGTTCATCATAGAGTAGATTTACCTTTTTTTGCCGCAAGCTTCTCGAACGTCCAAACATGACGGAAATTTCCACGCATCTGAGTATCTTCGATGTCATAAAATTTCAGATTTTTTGACTTTTTTTGCAAAAAAAAATCGAATTTACTGTTCATTGGAGCACTATTCATGTCGTGGTCAAAACCGGGTTGACTCGGCGGCAAAACCCCGCAGGGATGAAAAATGGCTGGTTTCGAGAGTTTGTGGTGCAATCTGTTCAATTTTAGAGTTGAGGGACCAAAAATGAGCAAACCAAAGAACTGAGGGACCACAAGTGGACTTTGATTTCAAATCAAAATAAACTACAGCAACAAATGTTACAAGCTATAAAGGTGCAAACTAACTGAAAATTGCTTGATGGAAATAAATAGGGAAGAACTATGACTGAAGATCACGAGAACACTAGCAGTATGAGCGAAGCAGAGGTCCAACTGTGCATCGTTGAAATCAAGCATATGTGCTTACAAAACGAAACTTGCATTGAAAACTCTCTAAAAACAAGTAATTGAAAGAAAAAATGAAACCGAGCTGAAATGCAACCGAGAACAGACAGCTAGCTGGAGAAACTAAAAATGACAGGATATTCATGGTAGCTCACTAGCTCTCATCGCTTAAGAAGTACAGGGACATCAGGCCTGTCATTTGACAGAAGATTGCTCACCCAAGTTTCATCATATGGTTGCTCGCACATTCAATGTAGGATCCATGCACATTTTTTATTTCTTTTCTGAGGATATCAGTGCAGGATAGCTGGGTTGTAGTTTACTCAGAAGCTCCATTTATCGTTTTTCAAAATGCTTTCTGTTGCTTCATACGACAGCATGGTGGTGGTGTCGATTTTTGTTGTGTCAGTTAACTAGCGCTGTGGTTGTGATTTCTACATAGACAAAGTGACTTTTCGTGCGCCCTACTAAATTCATTGATGAGAGTGAAGCAGGGTGTAGATATGTTCACTTAAGTGTTTACTAGTTCCAGCAGTTTAGAAGTTTTGTTGAGGTTTAACTTCAACTTGTTATATATATCGCCCATGTTTAAGAATTCATCTGATTAACCAGTTAACTTGCCAATTGATCCCTACTCATAGGATCAGCGAATAGCCAATAGATTGATAAATCAGCCAATTAATTGATTAAATGGCTTATTAACTTGTCGATTAGCCTATTAATCTCATACTCGCCACTCAACCTAGCAGCTACCAGTTAGCGGTTTCCTCA